ACCTCGCTCAATCAAGATGGGGTCCATATACTGTTGATATGGTCGCGGCAGAACATAACGAACAGGTTTGAGTATATGTCGTTGATTCATTCTAAAGACAATGCCTTTCAACTTGACTTTCCAAAGCATATTGCGTGGGCTAACCCACCTTGGGAACTTATCGCACAGTTGTTAGATTTTATTAATATTACTAAATCTACCACTACGCTGTGTTATCCCTTACGTAGCTCCGACCCACGGATACGTGATGTAATTATTATGATATAAGACGAACCTATCTATATCGACCGAGATACCGACACGTTCATGTATCAGAGGTCCTATTCTATTAAGAAGACACCTTGGAAACATACCAGTGCTTGTCACATCGGTTCTGCAGGTATCACTAAGCAGAAACCCTCAACCGACTTCTTAGCTAAACTAGAGGAGTATAAGGAGCTTAAAATAAGCTCAAAACTCGTACAACACATCACCCAACAAGAATGCAGTCATTAGATCGTAAAAAATATTGGAATTAGCTAAGGCTATGGAACAAAGCTCTAAGAGAACATGAAGATCGCACTCAACTACTTAAAACGCTGCCTAGTGTAGACAGGTGTTGCGAAATAACTGAAGAAGATACTTCAACAATCTAATGATGTTAATTACGTATCTCAAGAGTCTACTCCTCCTGATACTGAAGTTGCCCTTTCTAACGGGACTATGATTCATCCAGCCAGCGTTACACAGATTCTGACTAACTTTGAAGAGCGCGAGAGTAGAGTTAAATAATACATAATTTAACTCATCGAGCATATGAGCCTACTTATAAGATTGCTATTCATGCAGGACTTGATCACCCGGCGCTGAAAGTAACCATAAGTGAAGTTTATCGACGCTGTACTGGTTGTGAAAAGAATCAGATCAAGCGCTACGGTTGGGCGGGGGGGGGGGGGCATCCCTAAAAAGTGTGACAGAAGACCAACCGATGCGCCGAATCATAGTTGATTTGATCAAACTCCCGCGAAGCATGCTGGCGATGTATATGTCTGTTATTTCTTATGTGTTGCTTCGGGATATAACTTGCTTTATACAATACTGAACAAACGCACGCAAACAGTGACAGAGTTATGCTATCACGCCTTTGATGACTTTGGTTTCCCCCGAGTACTATGTACTTATAACGGTAATGAGTTTTGTACCGACGGAATGGAGGCACTTATGCCCGTATCAGGCATGCCCCACAGACGTGGTGTTCATTATAAACCTCAAACGCAGGGTGCAAATGAGACATGTCATAGAGAACTTAAGAAACTCTTGCGTACCGCGCTAGATGACGTTGAGGATATGTGGCCTTATTGTTTGAAATGGGTTCATATTCAAATGAATAACTGCAATAATCCTCAAACTGGAACAACTTCCGTTTCACTATTTCTTTGGCTGCTATAGTGAATTATAAACAAGGTTTGGCAAACCTGCGCCCGAGACACACGCTACCCCGTGGCTACAAAAGATGAGCATATGCAGAACGTTATTTACACATGTTTACTCGAGCACAATAATCGCGTCCTACTTAAAAGCGTATGACCGATAGGATTACACTAAAATAGTGATTCAATTCAAAGTTGGCGAACACGTTAACATTGTAAATCGTAAGTCAACGTAACCGAACTCTCTTCTATGACAATTGTACCTCTTGTTATTTCCAACCATGATGAGAAGAGTGATACTTACGAACTAGCGCAACTAATCTAGGCACTCACCTTACTCTCATTCGCTCGCTCTTTTGATTCCGATGTCCCAGTTATGGAGCCACAAGCCAAAGATATAATTGACAAAACATCCGAAGACGGCTACACTTAGTACAATACCCGTTTTATGGGTGGGATAGTAGCTTGGCTAGCCTCCGATGCATTTCATCAATCTCGCGACTTCCTTCGTATCTTTAATAAGAAATGGAATAAGCGTCTACATTAGAACACGCGAGATAGACGGAAAGGGTTTCCTCAGGTGACTACAAACCCTGACGGATCAGAAATTCCTTATTCTCTACCTACTTCCTATGTGACTATACTTTCTGATTTACTTACCAACAGTGCAGAAAATTCTTCAAACTTACTTACTATTGAAGAACAATCTTTGGCTATTACCTTACCAAATAATATGCGTAAGGCGCCTACGTGGGAAATAGTTACTGGATCAAATACTACCCGACATAGAGTACAACATGGGTTTTGAACTCATATATGTAGGCACATACCCACTCGATAAGCCATGACCAAAAATGGGTTACATTGGTTTTCGCTTTACAAAACTAGATCGTATTTTCACGTGCGTTCGTAGTTCTATAAGCTACAGAGGGCTATGTAGGAATACGGCTTCCGGTCAGTTTAAAATATCAAGATCGAAAGAGATAACACATCGGTTTTATTTGTAGTTACACTAATTTAATACTATTTCCTTTTCCAATATTTCCAAAGTTTCCAAAGTGTTCTAAATTCACTTTGATGGCTCCAATAATAGCCCGAGTATTTGGTATGACTCATTTACTTGGACCTATTTGAGACGATAGTAGATGTAGGATATTCTAAACAATTTTATAATAAGAACTACTATTTACAGGGTTTGGTCATCCCGCCAATCACCAAAATCCAAAAAGTCATATTCTTTTTTAACTTTTATTCAGATGGAACTTTATTTATATTAGCTAATGTGTTAACTTAACTTACGTTCTTATGCCCATATACAAATTAGGCATGTGGTCATGAATACTTAGTACTTCTAGTGAAATTATTCAATAAAGAACAGTTGGAGGTACGTTCTGTGTGATCGACGATATTAAGGCTCTTATCAAGAGGCAGTCACGATCATTCTTACACAAGCTACCACTGCTAAATCATAACTGACTTAATTTGTATCTTAGTTTATTTAACATAATGTGAAACATAGTAATATTCTTCTGTTTTATCGCTGCAGCCTTCTTTGCCCGCATCAAAGACAAGACGAGAGTTCTTATATCCATTTGTCCTGGGAATGAGGATCTTCCCTGGTACATCAATTGGAGTTGCGCCAACATTGGTACAGGTTGCATCTTTGAAGATGAATCAACTTCATCCTTCTCAAACATTTCTTTTATATCGTCCACATATTTGTTCCTAAAAGATTTGCCATATTGCTGCCCATGAGGTTTACGCCTCGCCCAACCATGTTTAAGTATGATGCTGCGTTTTCTACTTCTTTAAAATCTTCAGTGCTATTTCGCACTGCGACAGCGTGTGATGAAATTAGTGCATTCGCAGATCTGACTGCAGTAGCTATGAGATCAGCACGATTAATTGGGCCCGCATGATCGCTTGCTCCACGCTTTTCGCGAGCATGATTACGAAGACCAAGTATAGTTCCGAGCTTCGACTGTTTGATCTCAAACACTTTGATAGCCGCTTTGCACCACGATCAGGGTGGCCTGGGCCGTACCCAACTAGCTCTTCTGGCGCCAGACCCGCATTAATATCGAGGTCATCTAGCGTATCGACCCCAATTTCACTGTCGATCTCCAATTATATATCTAGCCCCTTTTCAGCATTTGAATTCCTGCCAATTGCGCACTAATATTGCCCTCTACTATTTAAAATGAATCACCCTCGAATTTCACATGAAACAGCACTCCCTCACCGATTCCAGAATATGCATAAACACGTAGATACAAGACAGTCTTTCTCTGCAACAGCTCTTCTGAATCTCCACTATCATCCCCCACTAGGGGACACACAATATCCTCGGATATCACATAGTTTCCACGTGTGAAATCCTTGGCAGCGGCGCCTACAAGTTACTTTGTGCGATCGATGAACATTTGGAGTTTTCCCTGTTGATCCACACTTATCAGCTGAACAAAAAATTGGGAGTATCTCCCTTCCACACTAATGCTGTGGCCAACCCTTTTGGAGTCGCAATTTAAAAAAATCCTATTTCGCTTACTAGACTTCGTGAAGTTATTAACATGGCTTCGCATTAGACGTTTTAGAAGTCTGTCGTGATAAACCTAAGATATATTCAGGCCATTCCACAAGGGTAAAAACCCAACAGTATCACTACAACAACACACTTAAAATAAATGTCTGAACGGTGCATACAATGAAGTGTGACCCAATATTTATCCAGAGAGATATCACACGAACATTATAGACAGAGAGGCATGAGAGAGGCATGGGTTGGCATGGGTGCATGTCGATGTATTTTGAATACAAAGAGTGGACTGAGATTGGCCTAGATGGAATTGCAATTGACACGAAAGCAGCGGTGCGACAGATTATCTACGGCGACCAAATTCTACAAGGTGAAAATAAGCAGGATGCGTCGTACGTTTATTCGATGCTTGAAGCCTATTTCTATGCAGGAAGGAAAGGTTGCCACACATGCCTGGTAGATTGCAGTGTACATCTGGTGGTATTTGCCCATTTTGTTCTAACACGTCTGAGAATGATTCTCTGAATCCTTCCTGTTCATGTTCACGGTCTTCTTCATGTGGTGTAAGAAGTGATTCCCATTTGGCATCTGTTGGTATTAGTGGATTGATTATCCCTGCTAAGTATATGCCCAAGTACGGTAGAATGTCCATTCCTAATAGGATTGGTGATTTCTTGCCTGGGAGGTCAAGTACTTCGAAGCAGTTTGAGGTTTGTCTGCCTCCGTAATTTATATCACATACTTCTGTGGAGCCTGTGCGTTGTACTCTTGCATCTGATTGTGCGAGTTGAATGTATCCGGGTTGTGACTTTACAGATAGGTATAGTCCAGGTACTACACTTCGAAGAGCGTTGTGCCCCTGAATCTACTAGTGCATTGTATGTGGTGCCATTGATTTGTATGTCTATGTGCAATCTTTGGTCGCGTGGATTCGGAAGTAAAGAAATGGGTGTGTAATCAATATCATTCGCATTTATTAACAACGTTTCTTCATCAGTGTGTGCATTCACAATGTCTACCATGGTTATCATGTTAGCCTCCAACCACCAAGCATTTCATAGATCTTCCTTCATCTCTTGCACCTTATTGCCATTGGTAATGGCTAACTGGTCAACATGAACGGTTTGGTTCTGTTGCACTTCACGTGCTTCTGTATTTCGACGGTTGTTTGCCGATTTGTTGGGGTACTTGCTGAACGCATGTGGTGAGGGGTTTATCCCACAGTGTGGACAGGGTCGTGGTCCTCGTGGTGCTGGAGTGTTAGTGGCCTGTCCTATGGGACGACCTCTACCTTGCCCTCCTGGTGGACCTCCAATCCTTGGTGGACCTCCCCCTCTTGGTGGTCCCCCCCCTCTGAGTGGATCTCCTATAGGGATGTCCAGTCTTGGGCGAGTAGCTCGCGGTGAATGAGCATGTGTGTTTTTTGCTCGATTGGCTTCACGCTTGCGATTGGCTTGTGTTATGGTTGCCTGTCTGATTATGTCTTCGGTGAGCTCATGAAATACTTTCTCTGAGATATCAGATAAATGTCCACTACTACCGTCTGGTTCTGTCTGAGCCTTGATAATTTTGTCTGTTTCTGCTTGTAAACCATACATGACTAGTACTTGGTAACGTGATGATTTGAGGAGTTGCCAATTGATAGCCTCTCTCTCCGTGCCCTTGTAGCGCTTCTCCAACTCAAACATTGTGCGACGCAACCGTGCTGCCCATACTTCGACAATCATACGAGTGTCATAGAAGTCGTTGAGCCATTTCTCTAGTAGATAGTCTATACTGGAATGCGACGTAGATTGTCAATGATTAATATGTTGTAGTCCTCCACATCAGTGAAGTTTTGCCAAAGCTTTTTGGTATTACGTATATTGTTGAGTGCAGTGCGCGAAACTTCGGTTGCATCTGCCTGTCTGAGCAGCTCTTGTACTAACGAGAGGTACTGTATCAATGGCATGTTTGCCCGCAAACAAGTCTTTGGCTACAGATACAAACTCAATTGTATCACAACAATCAGCCATGCTGACATATTTGTCTGCTGGCCACTTAGATAACTCACTAATATTGAGGAGTCTGTTCAGTTCTGGTTCTGAAGCTTTGTCCCCTTCGTGAGATCTAGTTAGAGTTAACTCGCTCATACAGCCACTGAGCGCAATGCACTCATCGTGATCACTTTTGTCACAGTTCTTCATAGCTTTATTGTATAGCTCTATTAACCACTCATATATTACTGGAACTAATCGCTTTGGTTGTTGGTCATGAAATGCTTTGCGCAGTTTGTGAAACGCTCTAATGTCAATGGTATTCGTCCGCTGTCTGCGCACACAACTTGTCTACTAGTATGTATATTATGTAGTAGTTGCTCTCATAGGTAATCTTGTCCAAGACCATGTTATACTTACTCATTGCTGGATCCATTGGAGCTCGGGCTGGTGTGGACTCATCGTCCATGTGCATCGCTCTATCCCCATTGTGTGGGGTAGAGGCGCGTGACGATACTTGCGAAACTGGCATTGCGGTTGCTGTTTCTGGACGTGTCCTGGTCGTACGACTCGTATTGCTTCTGGTCTGTGTTCTGCGTGAGATCATTTGTGTGCGTAGGCTTTGTCGTGCTGCACGTGTCCTCTGATCTGGAGCAGAAGTCATTGACTATGCTGTGTGTGTAACATTTGTTGTTAGGTCAGACTAAGTACAAGTGGCTCTTATGTGCCTACGTTAGTTTCAGTAAATTCGATTGATTAGCTTTGTTTGTGCTTCCTTGTCACTAAGTGTCACGTAGTGAAGACGTGTGTAGTAGCTTGCCTCTGGTCTGCTCAACTCAGCGTTCTTTGCAATACCTGGGGTTATATTGAGAGTTTTTGTGTTTAAGTGGATAAACCTGGGTTTATCTTGGTTTATTTGTGTATTTGAGATAAATCTGGTTTCTCGTGTGCACTCAGTTTTTTGTATGTGAGACTTTTGGTTTATGGTTTTTACTTTTTAATTTATAAAAATTTAATTTGTAAAAATGTGTGACAATGTGGTAGTGACTTTGTCACTGTACCGAATTTCTTGGATATATGTATCTTAGTTGTCCCCTTGTGGTATATATGTCACTTTATTGTGATACATGTGTATCGTTTTGGTTTGTGGGTGTACCGAACTTCCTTGATTTAGGTAGTTGTGTGGGGGTTATGGTATTGTATGCACTTTAAGGTCTGTTTATTGTGAGCTACGTTACATTAACTGTTTTTGACTTAGTGAGATAAATACTTCTTGTCTGTTTGTGCACCTGGAGCCTTTCTTGGTGTCTGTTATGTCATCCAACTCCCTTGGGTTAGGTATGTGCGTGACTGTATGTGCACGGAAGTTCTTATTACTGTGCTTCAAATATTCTTGTGCATTAGTTGAATTTACGTACTTATTATTGCGTCAAGTAATCTTGTGCACGGGTTGATGTTCGCATATGCGTTTGTGCAGAATGCATTGTTCCGTCTTGTTCGTATTTTGAATCTGAGATGGTGTTTCTCTTGTGTTTCGATCACGATGTAAAGCATTTCACAATGTGTCTTATTTATAAGATCTCTGGTAAATGGTTCTCAATGAGAGGTCCTATCTATTCCAGTGTCCATGTATTTTGGATCTCAGTGGCGATTTATTACACAAGTCTTATCGTGGGCGTATTGTGGAGTTCAATATCCGTATGTGTTGTCTTCTGTATTCCCATTAAGTTAATATATTATCTTGTCTAATTTCACTCGAGATTGCGAGTTACTTGTCTGATTTCTCTTTGTTGAGGATCCGTTTGGCCTAGGGCTCTTATTTTGTTGCGTTATAGCGATTTTTGTGTGTACTGCGTGTGGTTGTGATGATCTTATTTACTTGTTAATGGAACGTTGAGTTGAATGGTTGTTCCTCAATTATTCTTTACTGATTTCTAGCCCGATTGCCTCTGTGGTTGTTTCCCTCAGTGATCCTGTGTGTACTCGTGCGTTCAGTAACTTCCGTGGTTTGCATTACTAGTTTGAGTTCTACGGGCTATGTGTTTTGTTTGGGTTTTGTGCCATTCTATGCCTCATTTGAAGTTGTACGTCTAATTCACTCAATGTTATCGAGTATTCTTATGTTTCGTATACTTTCATTTAATTGTATGGCCTATGTTGTTCATTTGCCAGCTTCTGTTGGTGTGGAAGGCTTATGTAACTGTTCTTTGAAAACGACTTACTAAATCTTCTTATGAAGAACTTTGAGCTTCTATAGGAGATTTCACTTCTGGGTGATGTTTATAAATTTAACATTTCAATGTCTATAAATAAAGACTAAATTGTGAATGGCCCCAGTGCGAGCTCTGGTGTATCGTGTTATGTGTGGCGTGAATCCCGTTGTTTTGTTTAGTACTTATTGCACCCTGTTGGGCTCATCGTGATGGGCTAATTATGCACCTTGTTCGCTGTTTAGGTACTACTATGTTTTAGCCTGCCACTCAATAAAAGAAGTTATCACCTTGACACTTTCCTAAAATTTCTTTTTTGTTCAACATCGATAATGTTATCAACTTGACGGGTCTGATATTTTTGCACGTGTATTTCTCAGATGAACTTACCTTGGAGTCACCTGAGGGTTAAAAACACTTACTGCGTACCTGGTTTGTCAGACTTGTTTTGTTCTCGAGAGGTTCCTGTTTCTTCTCTACTCTTCTTCTGCTTTTCCACTAAGTATTCTTAGTTGGTTGCTTCTTCTGAGTTTGTGTGCGTCTGCTTCCTTTGTTAGGCAACTCTCTTCCCACTGTAGAGTAGTTTCTTCTCGTCCTCCCGTTGTAACTCAGTCTCTATAATAATTCTCGAGCTGTTACTATCTTATTCTTGTTTTTGATATAATGTTTCTACCAGCTCAACAGGTTATTATCCCTGTTGTTTGACTTACCGTAGTAATGTTATTGTTAAAAATGTAGAGTTTGAGAGTACTGAAAGGATACGACCAAAGGAAACAATAGACCTCTTCTCAAGTGCGAATCGTACAACTAGGTAAAAGTCCTAGGCTGAGGGACTCGCACTGAGTCTTTATTTGTGTATAGTAATTTTTACACTAGACTCAATATTTACTTAAGTGTTTCTCTCACACGAGGGAGTCCCGGTTTCATCTACCGGTAATCTCGCTATATTTCTGATCACTTTATCATCAGAAATATTGGATCCTAGATCCAAAACTCAGTATTTGATAATCCTGGGGTTTGGGTTTAGGATTGGCTTTTCTGATAGTCTGGCCCCTGGATGCTACAATAATAAGTGTAGAACATCTAAGAACGCATATAAGAGGTATATTTAATGTCGTGGTTGTGTTTTTGGCACACCTCGAAACCGACCTACCATGCTTCATGTGTGCACTACTAACTCCTGCAGTGCTATGAAGATGGTTCAACAACAACAATTGCTCGGAAGTATCTCCTTAATCCGGACAGAGTTTTGGTGAATGGTCTCACGTTGCAGGAGTTGTAAGCTATTATAGACTTCGAAATATCATATACGCACCTTATAATAAGTGTGGAACATTTAAGAACGCATATAAGAGGTATAGTTAATGTCGCAATCGTGTTTTTGGCACACCTTGAAACCGTCCTACCATGCTTCATGTGTGCACTGCTAACTCCTGATTTATCAGTGCTATGAAGATGGTTCAAAAACAACAATTGCTCGGAAGTATCTCCTTAATCCGTACAGAATAATAAAATAAGTATTTCCTTAATACCGCATTTAATTGAAACTGTCCTGCCCTAAGATTCTGGTCATAAAAAAAATTACAGCACTGGAAAGTCACTAAGTGTATATAAAAAGTCTCTAAATGTACCTTTTAAATTTTTTGTTTGAAAAGTTTGAGAAAGAAATTGAATATCACATTTAGCGATTTTAATTGGGCAATTAGAAAATGTACCCGTAAATATGAATGTACATTTAGTGACTTTCCCATGTAGATCATGTACATTTAGAGTATTTCCTCAGAAAAATATGTCCGACGAAGACGACTGTTATATAGCCAAGCTTTGGTCATTAAGCATACTGTCTAAAAAGTCTATTGTGTCTTGTCTGGAGTCTTTGAGCAAATAGAACAACATACAAATGTATTTCTGAAAGTGAAAGTCTTTCTCCGTAAATATTTGTTGCGTTCCTGTTTTCATCTACGTAGTCGGTTGCTAGTGTAAACACCGGCTGACAAAAATATATGAATTTTGTGACAGCTATCTCTTGTGATTTTTTGTGTGCACACAACACTTCAGACCATCCTTTGAACGTATACGCACTACTAAGACATAGCTGCATGTAGTGTATGTTGTCGGCATGTCAGTTCAGCCACGCACAGAACGTGTTTACAGTCATACCAGTATTTGTTTGGTAGTCCGATCGCTATAAAAGTTGCATCGAACCCATGATTTAACACAGAATTCCGGAATGATATTTGTAGCTTACTGAGTTCTACGTTACTCTCAATATTCTCAGCGTCCCGTAGTTTAGATTATGTACTACTATGCTTACAATTCTTCCTGTAGAAGACATCTGCGATGTCAAAATTCCAACGTTGATCCATAACCAAGTTCGTACAATCAATAACGACATAGTCAGTGTCATACGCAAGTATATTGCCAATCGTACCTTGTAACTGAAGAGCCAGTAGCTACTGTCCAGCCTCCATCGGGAATACAATAAACTCAAAGCATCAACAT